GTTGAAATTCATTTTTATTGACAAGAAAACATTTCAAGTGTAAAAACTGACCATAGAATATTTTCTTTGGGTTTCTAGGCATAGGTTTCCTTGACTTCATTATATTAAAGGTGCTCCAAATAATTTGGCCTATAGGCTCCTTTTCAGGAAAAAAAAAATCACTCAGAGTCACAGTGGAATTTGACCTTCTTTATGTTGACAACACTTTCAAAGGCAACTCCCCCAGCCACATTATTCCAGTGTCCTCCTGAGAAGACACTATGGACCTGTGAGTAATACTGACTTAAAGTTCATTTGCAAGCCTTGTATATTTTAAACATTTAAAAATTATCCTTCTCTAGGGGCTAGAGCAGTAGCACGGTGGGTAGGGTGTTTGCATTGCCAACCCGGGTTTGGTTCCTGGCATCCCCATATGGTCCCCTGAGCACCACCAGGAGTAAAGGAGAAACCTCTGAGCATCACTGGGTGTGACCCAAAAAGCATAAACAACAAACAAACCAAAAAGAAAATGAACAAAAATTATATGGCTCTGTTCGGCAGTGGGATGCTATTGAAACTCTATGTGGAAGACAATAGGTACTTGAATTTCTGTAGCTTTTAAAAATAAATGGTTCGGGGGTATGGTGCCACCAGCAGATCAATCTGTACTTGTGAGGTGAGTGCATCAGCAGCCTGTTGGTGCTTTCAGACTTCCAGATACGCCAAAATTGCTGCTGTGCCTTTGACCAGACCCCAAAAACTTGGGGCAAAGTTTACCAAGAAAGTAAACGGCCAAAAGTTAGGTATGTGGGAAACACATCCACAAACCACCTCCGGCTCAGCTATATAATTGGAAGCGTGGCCTCTTTGGTTCCTGATTGAACTGCTTAATGGCCATGATCCCAGAGACTCAGAAACAAATCTCAAAACCCAGCGGCTTTTGGCAGAAATGCGTCCGGTCCCTGCAGTAGGTTACCGGTGGTGGGCCAACCCAGGTGGGAATAGGTTTCGTGCCTTGGCCTGTTCCCCTGGCGGCCTAGTGGCCGGCATCCTCCAGAGGTCAGTGGATAGTCAGGTTTGGGCCCGCAGTGATGAGACACGCAGGGCCTCACGGGATGGGGGTGGAGCCGGTCCCTGTCCCAACAAGACCCCAAGTCATCAAACACGAACGGCCTGTCTGGCTCCTGATCAAGTTGCTTAACAGCCTTGACCCCAGAGACTCAGAAACAAATCTAGAAACCCAGTGACTTTTGGCATAATGTGTCTGGACCCCGCAGTAGGTTATTGTCACTGGGCCGCCTTGGTGGCTTGGTGGCCACCATCCTCCAGAGGCCATTGGACAGTCAGGCTTGGGCCCGCAGTAACGAGACATGTTGGTTCTCACAGGATGGGGGTGGAGCCGGTCCTGTCTTCCCTGTCCCAACGAGACCCCAAGTCATCATACACGAACGGCCTCTCTGGCTCCTGATCAAGCTGCTTAACAGCCATGATCCCAGAGACTCAGAAACAAATCTCGAAACCCAGTGGCTATTGGCAGAAATGCGTCTGGACCCCGCAGTAGGTTTCTGCTGCCTGGCCACCCCAGGGGGGAAAGGGTGTTGTCCCTCCGCCTGCTTCCTCCTGGCAGCTTGGTGGCCATCATCCTTCAGAGGCCCTTTGACACTCAGGTTTTGGTCTGCAGTGATGAGACATTTTGGGCCTCACGGGATGGGAGTGGAGCCCGTCCTGTCCTCCACACCCCAGCGAGACCCCAAAAAATTGCCCAAGAACGGCCTCTCTGGCTCCTCACCAAGCTGCTTAATGGCCATGATCCCAGAGACTCGGGAGCATATCTCGGAACCCAGCAGGTTTTAGTAGAAATCCCTCCAGATTTAATTGTTAAAGTTTCAGAATTTCAAAATCATGTGGTCACTGCTGCAGCCACGCAACATCATATGTCATTCATAACTAGCAATAGAAAACAAATTGTCTACTGTTGCCTTTTCAGCAGACTTGAGTGTTGGGGTAAAATCTCAAATAATAATGGTGGGTCTGGTGTCAAAGTATTGAATGTGATCAAAGTAGAGAGTAATGTGGAAATCATCTGCCCCACAGATAGGGAGAGGGTGTGGGATGGGGGTATACCGGGGTTGTTGGGGGTGGAGAATGGGCACTGGAGAAGGTACGGGTGTTTCATTGTATGACCGAGACTCAGACCCAAAAGCTTTGTAACTGCTCTCACGGTGATTCATTAAATAAAATGATAAAAAATGAAAAAAAAGTAAGGTGGAGTTCATGCACAATTCAATCAGCTAATCAGTGGCTGAATAAATAGCAGTACTCCTACATAAAAAAGGTAAAGGTAAGGTAAAGGCCCTCCCGTTGATCGTCGGTTTGCTCGAGTGGGCCCAGTAACGTCTCCATTGGAGACTTTGTTGTTTCTGTGTTTGGCATATCGAATACGTCACGGGTAGCTTGCCAGGCTCTGCCGTGTGGGCGAGATACTCTCGGTAGCTTGCCGGGCTCTCCGAGAGGGGCGGAGGAATCGAACTCGGGTCGGCCATGTTGGCCGCTTGTAAGGCGAACACCCTACCGCTGTGCTTTACATAAAAAAATAGATGGTAAATAAACAAATATCCTAAAACAATTTAATTCAATATTTGAAAACAAATAAATATGTTTTAATACATACCCATAAATCTATTTGAGAAAGTATCTTTATTCTTGAAATAGTTTCTTCCAGTTTATAATCCACACATTTCATTTTGATGGCAGTGGAGGGATAGTTGCTTTGGGCCACACACGAGTGGCAGTGCTCTGGAGCTATTCCTAGCTCTGTGCTCATGAGTGAGCCCTGGCAGTGATCTGGGGACCATCTGTGGTGTCAGGGATGTAACTGGACTGTCTGTGCGCGAAACAAATTCCTTAAGGCCTGCAGTATGCTTTCCACCCTAATCAACTCCTCCTTCAAAATTTCTGTGGTGTGGTGTAATGTAGATAGTTACTTAATAAGTGACATTTTCTGGAGTACATAATTTGAAGCACAGGTTATACATCATGGATTATTCTCTACCAATTCTGAGTTGTAGCCTAGTCCCTTTACTGCAGAAGGAGGTTTGACCTCATACAGAAATGAAGATAATTAGTTCAAAGCATGGATTCCTTTAACACCAGTTAGCTATAACGGCTTTACAGCAAAGAGCTAAGTATCCTGGATCAATTAAAGTGATGTTGAGGTTTATCTATTTGTATCCCAAATCAATTCATCTTTTCTAGAATTCTTGTTCCTGGATGTCATTTTAGGCTGAAATTAAAGAGAGCTTAAGGTTGAATTGAGTATTTTGTGGATATACTAAATCTTTGAAATAGAGTTTAGTAGTCTGCCATCTGCCGAAAGCAGTAAAAATCCAGTAAAATGCAGCAGTCGAGTTCAGCTGTGGATTGAAATGTGGATTTTTCTATGACTACGTTAATATGCCTTCAGTAGTTGTAATGGAACCTTATAAAGTCAAAATCCATTTGAGTATGGAGAAAATTTTTTAGTTTAAATAGGTCAAGCAATGTCAGGATTAAAGGTTTGATTTGTCTTTAAAAAACTGTAATTTTGAATTACTTAAAAAATGTAACTTCCTGTGAGATAACATGCTCTATTATAAAGCTGAGCATGTGTATTTGTGTTCAATTGAAGCCATTGATTGCCATTCACTTTCTGCTCCCCTGGAACCAGGCTGTGGAACCTGTTGGTAAAAAGATGAGTGCTGGAATTGTGCCAGAGAAATGCAGGACTAAGCCAGTTCCTATGTGTGCCTGGGGTCACAGCTCAGAAAATGGTAAAACAAATACTGCCAGGCCCTGGCTTTTAAAGATGGTTTAGTCATGCATGTGCATCCCATCTGTTGTATGCAGAAGGGATGTCTTTTCAGCTCAGACCTCTAGCTTGACTCCCCTTTCCCCCTGTTTCTTCAATTCTTTCTCTCCTTCCAGGATGGTGAAAATTCTGCAAATCAGTTGGTTCTCAATCCATTCTAGGGAAATCCTTGTATAAACTGTCATGAGTCTGGAAAGGTCTATATTTTCTTTTGCTGCTCCGATTATTTCTAATATAGTTTGGTCCAATAATTTAAAATTCTTTACACTGTATTGTTTTAGCCAAACTCTAACGTTGATCTTAATCACCCTCAACTTCTCTTATAAAATGAACATTGTAACTTTTTTTTTTATAATGAACAATGAACACTAACATTCTCTCTTGTAACATTGTATAGATAATGTTACAAATTCATCCTTCTTTCTATCCATCTGTCTCTGTCTCTCTGCCTCTCTCTTTATAAGATTTTGCAGCATTTCTCTATGTAAGTGGCTTTTTGGGCCACCCCCAGTGGTGCTCATGGCTTATTCCTGACTATTTGCTTATGGCTTACCCCTGGCAGTGCCTGGGGGTCCATATGATGTTCTTGGGTATTTAACCGAGGTCTTCTTTATGCAAGGCAAACATCTTATTCACATAACTTCTTCAGCTTCTCTGACCCCAACAGCAGCATATATTTTGACCTTAGTGGTTATGGGAGTAAAACAGTACAAAGTCTTGCTCAATGTTTTGTGTGATTTTTTTCTTTTTTTACCTTTTACTTTTGTTCACTGTAAGCATTTTTGATATCCCTCCCATGTTCCATTTTTTTTTATTTTCTAGAATGATCTCTCTCTTTTTATTAAGATGTGAATGGCAGTCAGTTTCTGATTTTGAGGTTGCAGAGTATAGCTCCAAATCTCAAAATCATGTTCACAAATGATGGTAGTATATGATGTTTATAAGTCGTTCGCATTATATACCATATTGGAGAACTGTGGTCTTTTAGCGAATTAATATTTCATATATATTTTTGACATGCAAAACCTCCAAAAAGATTAGAGAGATAAAAAAGGAAAGGAACACTCTTTCCAATCAATATTTTTTATTGTAGTTTAAAATATACTCTACTGTAAACTTATGAGCCACCTAAAACAGTCATTATTCTAATTAATTTCTTTATACTGTCACACAGATTTATGAGAAATATCAAGATATGTATACAGTGGAGCCAAATAATGCACGCCAGCTGGTGGAAAAGGCAGCCACAAATATTGAGCAACTTCTGAAAAGTAGATCTACAGCTCTGGTGGTGAGTTCAAATTTGGTTTGATCACTTTATTGTTTTCCATTTCTTTGAGATTTATTTTTCATATTTGTACATTTTCCTTGAAAATTGTCTCGGTTCTACTGTATTGATAAATACACAATACGATTTTGTTCTGAGCCCCCAAAATTTATTCCTATGTGCATATTTACTTTTTTATTTTTGGGAAGTTTTGATGCTTAGTAAATTTATTTGGTTCAAAGTTATCCATATACACATGCTGTTGTGATGCACATCAGTTAAATTTTGCATGTTTACATCTATCATACACTGTGTGATCCAAGAGTATGTTCTAGTCTTCTCTCCCACCACTTTGCCCTCCTGTGTGAGGTGACCAATATGTTCGTGGACAGTTACTAACTTCTTTTTAATAGTAGTTGAAACTCGTTTTGCTAAACAAGATGCTTAAGGCTTGTTTTTGAGTTTTATTTAAAGCAAAGTCATACTAACTATACTCTTCAATTACTTGATTTCTTCTATACGCATGTGTGCTTGCACGATTGATTTAAAAGATAAAAGATAAAGGCCCTCCCATTGATCGTCGATTTGCTCGAGCGGGCCCAGTAACGTCCCCATTGGAGACTTTGTTGTTACCCCGAGAGGGGTGGAGGAATCGAACTCAGGTTGGCCATGTTGGCCGCTTGTAAGGCGAACGCCTTACCCGCTGTGCTATAGCACAGTGGTAGGGCGTTTGCCTTGCACGCAGCCAACAGGATTGATTTAAGTTTTGTATATTGCTTTTGGCTGCGTGCAAGGCAAACGCCCTACCGCTGTGCTATCGGGCTAGAGCTGTAGGGCGTTTGCCTTGCACGCAGCCAACATGGCCGACCCAAGTTCGATTCCTCCGCCCCTCTCGGAGAGCCCGGCAAGCTACCGAGAGTATCTCGCCCACACGGCAGAGCCTGGCAAGCTACCCGTGACGTATTCGATATGCCAAACACAGTAACAGCAAAGTCGCCAATGGAAACGTTACTGGGCCCGCTCCAGCAAATCCATGATCAATGAGAGGGCCTTTTCTTACTTACTTACTTTATATTGCTTTTAAGGTTAATTTTATGTAGGATTTTTCTTAATTTATTCATTTATTCTATCTTGGTAAATATTATTTGGATTATTTCCAGATGGGTACTATGAACAATGCTGTTAAAATTTCTTGGACAAATCCCGTGACAGTCATGTGTGAGAACATCTGCAGGCTTAGTATGTGGTAGGAGGAGGTTTTCACAAGGTCACTTTTACAGAAGTATGGCCAGAATAAAAATTGTTTTAGTAAACAGTTGTGTCAGTGTGGAGCTCCACTAGCAATAGATGAGTTTATTTGTCCTATTCTGGTTAATAGGTGGCAGTGTTGGAATTCTTAAATAGGAAATAAAATTGATTTAATATGATTCCTTTGCTTATTACTAATGAGGTAGACATGTGTTGTATTATTTTCCTCTATCATTACTCTTTAATGAAATTCTACTATATTATTTGCATATTAAATTTTGTTTTAGTGGAGAAAATGTTTTATTTAGGAAACTTAAGAGAGGAGAAAGAAGATGGGGACTGAGACTATGAGAGAGGGAGAGAAAGAAAGAGAGAGAGGAGGGAAACCCATAAAGTTAAAGGAAAGGAAAGGAGCTACATATCCAAAGTTATGATGTCCATGATTCCAAAGTGGAATATGACACATTTTTATTTTTAGGAAACTGATTTGTATTGATAATTCATTATAGGTACATATGCTGAAAATTGTTTTCTTCCTAGTTTATGACATTCTCTTCATTTTGTCATATTTAGGTAAAAATAAATTCTTAAATTTTATGTTGTTAGTTAACAAATATTATTTGGGAGCAGATGTTTTTATGAATTCCTCTAGCTTTATAAACATTTTCATGTAGTTAAAATATTTGTGCACTTGTCTTTCAGATTTACTTAAATCTATAACTCTTACCATTCTATAGTTTTAAAGTACAATCTAAATTTAAATTTTTAAAAAATTTAAGCCATTTTTTCTAGGTTCATTTATTAGTTGTTTTTCTTTCTTTAGTGAGCTATACCAACTAAGTAAATGAGAGGCTCAATACCTCTCTGTTACTTTTCTTCACAATGTTTTGTATATTTTTGAGCTTCCACATTTTGTCTAAATTTTAGTTTCTGAATGCAATTGTTAGGAAAATCTTTACTGAATTTTAATTTTTATTGTACTGTCAGTAGATTTTAAAGAATTGATACCTTCATAATAGTTTATTTATAAACATATTAGTGTTAAATATTTTTACACTAATTTAGAATAGCTTTTAATTTTTATTATTAGGTTTTCATACATCTTTTCTTAGATGTAATGTTACTGTTTTAATTTTTTAATTCAATAAATATCAGCATTGATATAAATATTTGTCCCAGAAAACTTTGATTCTCTTTTTCACTTACATAGTTCAGACTATACCTTTATATATTTTATGTATATTGTGGGGCTGAAGCAGTAGCACAGCAGGTGGGCGTTTGCCTTGTACTTGGCCAACCCAGGTTTGATTCCTCTGTCTGTCTTGGAGAGCCCGGCAAGCTACCCAGAGTATTCTGCCCGCATGGCAAAGCCTGACAAGCTCCACATGGCATATTTGATATGCCAAAAACAGTAACAGCAAGTCTCACAATGGAGACATTACTGGTGTCTGCTCCAGCAAACCAATGACTAACAAGAGGGCATGCCACAGTGCTATGTATATTGTGGCCCTAAATATTTCCTCATTTTCTTTGGCAAGTATAAGGATATAGGATCTTATAATGTAACAGAAGCACTTTTTGGAGGATTTGCTGTACATATTGTGAGAATTTGAAATAGTTGGATATATATAATGGCTATAATACATTTTAATACATGGTAAGATAAAATTTTGTAAAGATTCAAAATGCTATCTTCAACACTGAATATTATGAATACCACTTTATTTTTTTTTTGTATTTTTATTAGTGAGACATCATGAGGTACAGTTGTAGACTTACAAATTTTTGTGCTTAGGTTTCAATTATACAATGATCAAATACCCATCCCTCCACCAGTGCTCATTTCCCACCACTACGGATCTAAGTATCCCTCCCACCCTTATCCCCCCCATCCCACCCTGCCTCTGTGGCAGGGCATTCCCTTTTGTTCTCTCTCTCTCTTAGTGGGTGTTGTGGTTTGCAAAAGAGGCAATGGGTGACAATCATGTTTGGTCTATAGTCTACTTTCAGCATGCTTCTCCCATCCTGGGAGGATCCTCCCAACACCTTTATTTGGTGTTCCCTTCTCTATCTGAGCTCCCTTTTACCCTAGCATGTGTGGTTGGCCTCCAAGCCATGGAGTAAAAATCCTGGTACTAATCACGGCCATTCTTGGGTGTTAGTCTCCTATTTTGTTACTTTATGTTCCCCAGATGAATGCAATCTTTCTATGTCTATCCTTTTCTTTCAGAATCATTTAGCTTAACATGATACTTTCCGTGTAGTACCACTTGTATGGAAATTTCATGACTTCCTCTTTTCTAACAGCTACATAGTACTCCATTGTGTAAATGTACCAAAGTTTCTTTAACCAGTCATTTGTTCTCGGGCACTCACGTTTTTTCCAGATTCTGGCTATTGTAAAGAGTGCTGCAATGAACAAACAATTGCAGATGTCTCTTCGACTATACTTTTTTTGCCTCTCTGGGACATATTCCCAGGAGTGGCTGGATCAAATGGAAGCTCAATTTCTAATTTTTTGAGAATCGTCCATACTGTTTTCCAAAAGGGCTGAACCAGTCGGCATTCCCACCAACAGTGAAGGAGTGTCCCTTTCTTGCCACAACCGTGCCAGCACCGGTTGCTTTTGTCCTTGTGGATGTGGGCCAGTCTCTGTGGTGTGAAATGATATCTCATTGTTGTTCTGATCTTCATCTCCCTGATGATTAATGATATGGAGCATTTTCTCATGTGCTTTTTAGCCATTCGGATTTCTTTGTGAAAGTTTCTATTCATTTCATCGGCCCATTTTTTTTTTATGGGGTTGGATGTTTTCTTCTTGTGGAGTTCAACCAGTACTTTGTATATCCTTGATATCAATCCCTTGTGGATGTGTATTCGGCGAATATCCTTTCCCATTCAGTATACTGTCTTTGTATTTTGGTCAGTGTTTCTTTTGAGGTGCAGAAGCTTCTTAGTTTAAGATAGTCCTATTTGTCTATCTCTGTTTTCACTTGCTTGGCCAGTGGTGTGACATCTTTGAAGACACCATTAGCTTCTATGTCATGGAGGGTTTTGGCAATTTTTTCCTCAGTGTCCCTTATGGATTCCGGTCTGATGTTGAGGTCTTTAATCCACTTTGATCTTACCTTTGTATATGGTGTTAGGCAGAGATCTGAGCCCACCTTTTTGCATGTAGCCGTCCAGTTTTGCCAGTACAATTTGTTAAAGAGGCTTTCCCTGGTCCACTTCACTTTTCTTGCCCCCTTATCGAAGATTAGATGCTCGTATGCTTGGGGGGAGATGTCAGTATAATGAATACCACTTTAAAATGTTTTGGAGGGAGCTACACCCGGTAATGCTGAAGGGTAACTCCTGGATCTGTGCTAAGGAATGACTCTTGGTGGTGCTCAGGGGACCAAATAGGACACAGAGGGTCTGCTCCTTAACAGCCGTACGGTCTCTTTGGGCCATGTGAACACTATTTAAAAGCATATTTTAGAGGTATAACGACATAATTCAATGAAATTTTAACTAGTATAAATAAATTCCACAAAAGTGACTAACATTCACTAATGATAGGTGAATGGTTTCATTTGTATTTATTTTTATCAGCTTACATTTTTATTCTGGATATAAGAAATATGTATCTAGACATCAAAGTCCCTTGAAAAAAGTTGTTGAATTTAAATAGGCTTTAATGTAACTTGCATTAGTTTGATTAAAATGGCAGCCTCTTACTTTATTTTTTATCACTTGAAATATATGTGCCTGCAGCCAGTGCTTTATTTGAATGG